GAAAAATGAGAGTGAATGTTAACAAATTTGTTGGAATTGTTAAAAAGCAGTAGTTTAGCACTACCAGATGATGTTCTCCACCCTGCCCATGATTCGAAGCTGTCTGGCACTGGATGAACTTGAGCTTTCTGATGCGTGGCTCCACGTGAACTTGGCAGGATGGTGTATCCGAAGTTTGCATATCCGAGCTTTGGGTGTAAAGCAGAAGCTTGCTGAAAAACCAGTTAAATGGAAAAATGTTGGGTTTTTCGAAGTTTATGCTGGTCACTTGGTGGTTTTCGAAGTGGAGATCTGAACATGAAATGTGTTTTGATCCCCTATGAACATGTTCCGTGCTTTTTATTTAGGAATACGAAAGGCCTCTTCACGAATTGTATGGAACATATTTCTGAAGGAATGCAACATGAAATGTGTTTTGATCCCCTATGAACATGTTCCGTGCTTTTTATTTAGGAATACGAAAGGTCTCTTCACGAATTGTATGGAACATATTTCTGAAGGAATGCAAAAAGGTGTTGTAGTGTTGTCATCCGCTAGTCAACATTTGCCGTTGTTTCATCGACAAAGCTGCGGCTTACGGGCGGTTTCTGAGAGCGGGTGTGGTCTTACCATTAGCTCACCATCCAGTAATATGGAGTGTGGACTCGCCCGTTGAAGCCTCTAGGGATCTTTTAACTTGAACACTGTAGTACATGGTGGAGTTTCAAGACTGAAACATTATGATTTGCTAAGGAGATCGTAAGTGGGAAGTCCTGCAATGCTCAAGTTGAACGGCTCGTTTAAGGAATTCGCTGTGGTCCGGGATCCACATTCTGTCCAAAGCTATTTAATCTGAAATACAGGTAAGGCCCAGCTCGAATTCAATCTTATGCGAAGACTCAAGCAAGAAATTTGTGGTGTAACACGACGAATCCGAACCCGTCACTTCTCAGGAGCGAGTACAGGCTCTTAACCGTTGCACCGTGATAACACATTGCTTCGTCTTGGCCTGCTGCTATTCTTATGCGAAGACTCAAGCAAGAAATTTGTGGTGTAACACGACGAATCCGAACCCGTCACTTCTCAGGAGCGAGTACAGGCTCTTAACCGTTGCACCGTGATAACACATTGCTTCGTCTTGGCCTGCTGCTATGTCAGCCTCCCAATCAGTTTGATGGCGGTTGAAGCCCACCTCGGCTTACCCGAGCTGTCCGATGGGCCGAGGGCAATTTGGCTCAGCAGCACCTAGCCCCCATCTTAGCCGAATCGCCCGCCGGCCCATCGAACCTTCAGCAGCGTATATCATCCTGGTTGTGCTTGTGAAAATTACTGGTTCAAAGGGAGCAGGCAAAAGTAAATTGGGAGCGGATAGTTCGAGCAGCAGATGGTGCTCGTTGGTACCAATGAGCGAATAGCAACTACGTCGAAGGTGATGGAGTGATGGTCGCGTGGCGCAATGGCGGGGCTCTCCCTTCTAGAAGAGCTGTGATTGTTTGCTCCCCGCAACCGTTTTGGTTTTTGCAAAACGTGCTTTCCTTTGAAAGTAAACTCTTAAAAAGTTTTTTTTTGTTTTTAATTCAAGTTGGCGCTTTGTTTCGGCTATCACTTGCGATTACCTGCGACCACCGCGCTTATTTAAAAGAAACGTTGCGGGCTTCTAGACTTGTCACTGCGGTTACATCCATTGAACTTAATTTCGAAGTACCTGTCGAGCAGGGCGTCTAGCGGAATTTTAAAAGATCTAGGTTGCTGTTTAATGGTGATATACCTCATATGATGGACTCAAACGAAGGAGGATGGGGTTTAAGAGCGCAATGGGTAATCATATGGCTCAGTACCGTCATGGTCAGTGGTTCGCATCTGTGAAAAGACACTGCACACTCCTTTTCCAAGTTCAGAAACCTAAGGGATAAAGTGT